TAAGCACCACCATTTTATTTGAGATGAAAAAAGATTCCATAAGAACTTTGTCACTATATTTATTTATATTGACATATTCAGTCCCTAATATATTCTCTAAAAGCTGAGGGTAAATAAGATACTTTACCTGCACACTGAGGTGGTTGTGACCAGTACCCGTTGAAACATGTCACTTCTACTTCCCCAAACAATTCAAAAGGTTTGATGCATTTATAATGTGCAGTCTGACCAGGTAGATACCTAGCCTTCTCATTTAGTATAATAGCATTTTCCACTTTGGGTGGATTCTCACAGGAAATATCTGAATAGAAAGAAAAATGTACCATCTCTAATGTAATGATCATTTTGAGTAGCAAAGGGAGATTTAAAATCAACACTCAATCTGTCATGAAAGAGTGCCAATTTAGGAAATTTACATATGAGATTAAAGAAAAGGAGATAAATATCTTTTGGTAAGATTTAAGCTGTGTGAAAATGAGAGGTTTTTTTTGACATTTCCCATTTTTAGTAAAATCAATATTACAAATTATATAAATTCAATATGAATTTGTAAACCACAAGAAAATAATAATAAAAATCATTTGATGTCAAATTTTGGCTTGCAATCATCCTGTTTATGAATGTGATTTTAGGCTCTTAGAAAAATAAACACAGTAGGCACTTCCTTAGACAATAAATGAAGAATTAACACACTTTGAAGAGTACTAGAGTTGAAGGGAGAAGATGATTAACTGAGGATCCAAACAGGAGATGAGGACACCGGAGTTTTTCTGTATGAATAACAGAGATCAAAGGATCAAGTATAGATACAATGTATAAATTGAAAAGTGCAATCAAATACCACTTGGGGTTTTAAAATAAGGCTAACTTGGACAAATTAGATACTGAAAAACTGAAAAACATTTGAAACTTGCAAGCATATGTATCTCCATAAAATTGGTGCTATTATCTACTTGTTTGCTATGCCCCTTCATTCTTGTCCTGTTCATTATGAGGAGTAAAACAGGCATAAATAGAAATTTTCTATGGTATTTGCACAATAACCCAAAGTTGATGTCTGTTCATTTCACAGCAGAAGTGAAAGAATCCTGATTGATTTGTATACTTAGTTTGTAATTTACTGCCTCGAGGTAAAGTGAAACAGATCTAGAGAAAGGCCTTCATGTTGTTCCTTTACACAAAACACAGAGGAGTGTTATCCTCATTTGAAAGAACGTTATAAAGCAAGTTACGGGCTACTGACCAACACAGCGTGGTATTGACTGCCATCTTCCATCTCGGCACACAATTTCTTCTGCACCCTGAATTGTATAATTGTCTTGACAGACAACAGATACTTTTTCTCCATCCTGATAATTCACCGTCGTTGCCATATTTTGAGCATTGGGAATCTGAGGTGGAGGGGGGCACGACTGCGTTCTAAATTCTAAAAATATTAAAATTAGATTTCTTGATCAAAAATCATGAGTTAAACATATTACAAAGATAATTAAACAGGAAACTCAATAGTAATGTACCATTAATGATCAAATAATGACATTATGGTCTATATTTAAACATCTTATGCTTATCAGCTTGTAGAGCACTTTAATATATCACATGTGGTTTATAGTCTCACCATCTTGTAATAACTGTGTTTTATTCTTTCTGTGATAAATCTTGTGTAATTTATGTAAAACTTATTTTAATGATTTCTAACCATTTGGAGGTTCTAACTGAATTGTCCACTCAGTAAGAGGCACTAAATAAATACTGATATTGGGATCCTGTTTACAGATGTCCGTAATCAAATGTATTGTGCTTGGATTAAAACTGTCACAAGATGTGGAATGGAAGCTAATTAGTCAGAGGAAGAATTACATATAGTTAATGATCAATTATCAATTGATACAAATTGAAACAAATGACAATTATCAGTTACAGATTCTTGGCTAAGAAAAAAATTAGATACGGTCCTTAATGATTTATAGTGTTTTTGTTTTTGTTTTTGTTTTTTAAGATTTTATGTATTTATTTGACAGAGAGAGACACAGAGCAAGAGAGAGGGAACACAAGCAGGGGGAGCGGGAGAGGGAGAAGCAGGCTTCCCACTGAGCAGGGAGCCCGATGTGGGGCCTGGATCCCAGGACCCTGGGATCATGACCTGAGCTGACGGCAGACGCTTAACAACTATGCCACCCAGGCACCCTTAAACTGTGTTTTTAAAGTTACAAAACTCTCTGGAGGTACTGTTTCCTAGCTTGCCTACACTGCTGAGAGATAGGAAGGTTAATGAAATGCACCCTCTTGAACAGATCAGACAGGTTGGCTTCAGTTGTGTGACCAGCAAGGGACACACGATTCCTCTGTAAACTCGTGTTTGAGCTCCCAAAGAACTGAGATACCACACATGTATGGGGCAGCTCTTAATCTGAAGACAAAGCATGTTTGTTCAAAACTGAGGGAAGACTCTGGATGGCTCTACCTGGAGGCTTTTGGACCTCTTTATGATTCCTTCATTTTGCTTTCTCCTGTAGTGTGTTTATTTCATCAAAGGCCTTATGTGAGTGTACATGGGGAAGTCTTGTCAGTCCCTTCAGTTACCCGAGATTTTGTAGTCAATGCAGAGAAATATTTGACTGAATACAATTCATTCATGTAACTAATATTTTCTATTTCTATCTTATATTTTCTCTTTCTCATATTTTCTAAGTGTAGAAGTATTTTATATTTAATCAGAAACCTTTTTCTTATTTGTTCTAAATATCTTGGCATATTTTTTTCAATGCAGTATCAAGGACTGAGTTTCTTCTGTATCTGATGTTTAACCATTTCTGCACTAATAATCTTAATTAGTACTTCCTCTGATACATTTGCCAAAGTTTGGTCTAGCAAATAAACTTCCTTAAAGGCAAAATTACTATTCTGCTAATCATCTGTTTATGCTTTTTTTTTAAGCTTCTTTATATTTTTGTATTTTAATTAATTATTTATATTTTATTTTATTTATAGTTTTTAAAATTATTATTATTATTGTCATTATTTTTTGCAGTACTTTGTATAGCAATCACTCCACCAAAAAACTCTTAAAGGAGAATGAATCTATTTAGGAAAAAATAAATATCTGGAAATTAAGCCAAAAAAAAAAAACCTGTAAAGGTTTTTTTTTGACAGATTAAAGAAGAAATCACAAGGATTTATTAGAAAACATTTCAGATAGAATTAAATGAAAATGAAATGTGTGTAAAATTTTTGAGACTGCTACAGCAGTACTTGGAGGGAAAAATGGAGTTTCTCTTTAAAAAATAGGATGGTTTAAATCCATGTTTCAATTTTCTACCTTAAGAAATGAAATATAAAATTAAAATCAATGTGATTAGAATTTTAAAAAAAACCAGTTACGTCCACAGAAGAGAGATAAATGAGAAAGACAAATAGAAAAAAGAAAACAGAAAAGACCATGAATGTTAGTAAGGCTAAAAAAATAGATGAGAGAGAAATTAAGAAAACTAAGTGTTAAAATTGGTTATTTGGAAATATTAATAAAACTGAAGGAAAAAAAAAAAAACCCAGGAAGAGTAATCACGTATAAGAGAGAAACAAATATCAATGTCAAGAATGAAAGAAGTGATATCAACAAATAAACTACATACTTAAAAGGAAGATAGAATATTAAGTGACTATTAGAACAATTGTACACCAATCAACTTCATAAATTAGATAAAGAGAGATATTTCTTCAAAAATACAACTTTTTGCATTGACAAAAGACAAGAAGAAAATCTGAATATTTCACTACTTACTAAACAAATTGAATTCTTCATCAAGAAAAACTGCCCCCAAAAAAGCAAATTATGTATCAGATGACTTTGTGGGTGAAGTCTATCAAACATTTAAGGTAAAAATAATAAAATAATAATATGTGTAATAATAAAATTACATAAATACTTTCAGAAAACAGAGAAGTAGAAAGCAGTCCTCATTTTGTTTTATGAGGCCACGATAATCCTAATAAGAAAACTTGGGAGATGCATTTAAAGAAAAAGTAACTATAGATTTATATTCCCCATGAATATAGATGCAAAACTCCTTAAAAATATATCAGCAAATTGAGTACGTGAAAATGTAGAAAGAATAACATGTCACCACCTAGTAGAGTTAACTGTAGGGAAGAGACATTTGTTCAACATCCCAAGATTCATGTCTATACCTCACTGTATTAACAGAATTAAGGAAGTCATATTATCATATCAAGAGATACATAAGAAGCATTTAAAATCATTCAACATTGGTGATCATAAAATTTCTCAGTTAAGTGAGAATGGAAGGCAATTTCCTTAAGCTTATAAGGGG